TTCTATGATTTGGCCCCAACTGACATTTGGAGTCTCATCTTCTATTTCTATTAAATTGCACATTTATGTCACTAGAGTGTAAACTCTGTAAGATTAGGGACTTTGTTTTATTCTCTGCTCTAGCTCTAATATTGAGAACAGCACTTGGCATAGAGTAGGTGCTCAAATGTATATACATCAAGTGAACAAGTGAATGAATGGATTGCACTGATTGTACATTATTCATCTCTGTATCTCCTGGAAGAGCTCTGGTGGTGTACTGCCTAAAGCATTTGACTGTTAACCAGAAGGATGGCAGTTCAAACCCACCAATCACTGCTCAGAAGGAAGACTGGGCAATCTACTTCCATAGAGATACCACCTTGGAAACCCCAGGAGAGATTGCTATGAGTCAGATTTGACTCAATGGCAGTGAGTTTGGTTTGGTTTTGGTATCTCTTCAAGGAGCTCTGGTGGTGTAGCGGTCAAGGCATTTGGCTGCTAACCAAAAGTTCAGTGGTTAAAACCCACCATCCACTCCATAGATGAAAGATGAGGCAATCTGCTTCCTTAAGATTTACAGCCTTGGAAACCCAATGGAGGGCACTATGAGTCAGAATCAACTTGATGGCAGTGAGGTTGGCTTGGTTTGATACCTCTTGGAGTGCTTAGCAGTACCTGGCAACAGTGATTTTGCATTACAAAACCTGCTGCTGTCTAGTCTATTCAACTCATAGTCTCCTATAGGACAAAGTAGAACTGCCCCATAGAGTTTCCAAGGCTGTAAATCTTTAAGGAAGCAGACTTCATCTTTCTCCTACAGAGTAGCTGGTGGATCTGAACTGCTGACTTTTCAGTTAGGGGCATTGCTTTAACCACTGCACCACCAGAGCGCCTTGATATACATAGTTGTTTTTTGCCATCAAGCTGATTCCAACTCATAACAATCCTGTATGTGTGTGTTTGTACACACATATATAAACATGCATTATGCACTGTATGTATATATATACACACATTTATATAATGTACTATATATATGCTTTTGAGTTGTGATGTTGATGAAGAATACTGCAAGTACCATGGACTGTCAGAACAACCAAATCTGTCTCGGGAAGAAATGCAGCAGGCATGCTCCTTGGAAGTGAGAATAGGCAGACTTTGTCTCACCTACTTTGGTCATGTTGTCAGAAAGGACCATTCCCTGGAGAAGGATAACATGCTTGGTAAAGTGGAGGGTGAGCAAAAAAGGGAAAAACCCTCAAAGAGGTGGATTGACACAGTGGTTGCAACCATGGGCTCAGGTACAGCGAAGATTGTGAGGATGGTGCATGACTGGGCAATGTTTTGTTCTGTTGTACATAAGTTTGCTATGAGTCAGAGCTGACTCAATGGCACCTAACAACAACAAGAATAACAATATACGCATATATCACACACACATATCCATGACAAATAGTGGAATCAAGTACTTGATAATAATAAGAATGAGAAAGACAATTCAAATCTGAACAGAATAGTATGTATAACAAGGAGAAATGCCCCTTTTTATAAAATCCGATTATAATACAATGATAAGGTTAGCAGAGTGATAACGTGCTTTATCCCTGAATTTCAGGCAGGGGATGAAGAAAAGGGAAATAAAATCCAGCCATCTGCAAAGTTGTTTGTCTTTTATCTTGTATCCTGGAGCCTCTGGCAAGAGCAAGGCTCCTTTACCCAGACTCCTGGACCTGCTTGGTGTTTGCTAAACACCATTTGATTTTCTTTTAATGTACTTATGCCTGCTATAAACCAAAAACTTCCTCATCCTTATTTTACATCTTTTAGTTACCTTCTGGGACACAGACTACAATCCTCTAATGATACGGATGTTTAACTAGTCCTTTTGTTTTTGCACAACAAAACACTGCCCAATTCCACTGTGAATTGGAATTGACCAAACAGTGGGTTTGGTTTTTGGTTTGGCATCTCACATCCACTCTGAGCTACTTATCTTATTTCTATGTCCACCCAATGCCCACTGCTCGAATTCTCCCACTTCTTCATTCCTGTTATACTGACAACCATGGCCCTCAGTCAACTCTGTCTTGTTATGCAGCTGACTTCATCTTTTACCAAGCTGACTTTACAAAGTTGGCAACTCTTTCTTAAAGTAAGGTTTTTTTTCTTCTTCTTTTTCTTTTTTTCTAGGCCCATGATATATGAATGGACTCTGGAATGGACTCCTGACATTTTATGTAAAATTCAGTCCTTATTGTTGTTAGGTGCCATTGACTCAGTTTTGACTCATAGTGACCCCATGTGTTAAAGAGTAGAACTGTCCCATTGGGTTTTCTTTACCGTTATCTTTATGGAAGCAGATCAGCTAGGGGTTTCTCCCATAGAACCACTGGGTGGATTGAACCACCAACCTTTCAGTTACCAGCAGAGTGCTTAACCATTGGGTCACCAAGGGGTATTAAAACTTTGTTAGTGAGTGCATACATGGTGATCCTCACCCTTACTCCTGGGAGAAGAGCCATTAGCTTTCATCAAAATTTTTCAATTTTTTTTCCCCCCAAAGATCCACTGTCTCCAAACTGTGCCTTTGTCTTTTACAAACAGAAAATATGTATTTATCTTTTCTTCTTTAATTTAGTCTCTGGTCTCCTAGTTTAGTTCACTTGGGAAAAACTTCATGAAGAAGTGGAGCATAGAAAGGACAATGATTTTAGGTGGTAAAACCTCTTTGAATGATTGTACTCATTTTAGAGATGTGGTAATGGAGACACACAGAGAGAAAGTCAATGCCTGGGGTGGGTCATACAGCAAATTAATGACAGGATTAGGACCTGTATGCAGTAGCTACTGGCCCCAGGCTCTTTTCACTAGACGTTACATCCCCTTTCCAGGTGATGTTACCCCAGTTGGGGATTTCTCTTTTCCTCAACCCTAGTTCCTGTATTAGACCAATAAGAGTTTATCTTTGAGTAGATTCCTGAGAAAAAAAGTCACTCATTCCTGACATACATTCTATTCAGAATCTCAAATCTAGTGCCCTGAGCTTGACATTGTAGAAACAAACCAAACACAAAGGGCTGATCAGGAGCCAGGAACCTGTGACGTCTCTTCTTGTCCATGCTGTAGCTCCTCTTTGTTTCCCTGAGACAGGCATCCCAGGGAGAAGTTGTCACTAGCTCCAAATTACCCAACTAATGCCCCAAGATGCTGCTCTAACAGGGGAGGAGGTGAGTAAATGTAAGGGAGTTTCTATAATATTTTTACTCTTCTTGTGTATATTGGATCTCTATCTTAACACCAATAAATTCTAGGGAGAGCGCGATAAAGTCTCTGAAGATGCAGCATTTTTCTTCATTGCGTTCCAAATGCCTTCATCTTCTTACCTTTGTTGTTGTTGTTGTTATGTGCCGTCAAGTCAGCCCTGACTCATAGCGACCCCTCCTTGGGTTTCCAAGGCAGTATCACTACGGAAGTAGGATTGCCCAACCTTCCTTCCGAGGAGTGGCTGGTGGGTTTGAACCGCCAGCCATCTTCTTACCTGGGAGAATGAAAATGTGTGTGTGTATGTGTATGTGTGTGCTATGAGGAAGGCATGAAGTGGAGACTTACATGCCCTCACGGTACACACACTAGAGTAAAACCTTTGAAACTGATGCAAGGTGGAAATGTGCCAGAGAAGGATCACTCAAGTATTACCCACTAAAGTGAGAGACAGAAAGGTGATAAGACTGCACCCTGTAAAAGGCAGAAAACTTGTGAGACCTAAAAAGACAAAGAAGCCCTGTTGAGTTCTATTCTCACAGGTTTCACTGTTTAACTATGACTTTGTTAAGGTGTATGTAGAGTTGTTATACATATTTGCTAGAAAAGGAACTGTTGGAGGAATACAAGACCAACTCTATTCAAAGTGCCCACTGCCTCTTTTCCTTTAGAATACTCTCTTGCATTGTTATTGTATACCTAGTTTTGCAATCTTGTTGTAAACTTTTCAAAGGCTACATGGAGTATTAGAAAGAGCATGATACCAAAAGTCTGGAAACCTGAGATTTAATCTAAGTTCTGTCTTCTCAGTTCATACTTGATGGCTGCCCTCTCTCTTCTAGAAGATGAAGGTTTGGTCATTTGGCTGACATCTTGGATGACTGCAGAAAATTCAGCTCAGGGGGCTATCACTGACAATAATCATAAGGAATCAATTCAGAAATGAATTTGTTTTATTTGAGGGTGGAGTGGGTTAGAGGAGGTAATTTGCTGACACTGACTACAAAAGTGCATATATTTACAAATGCCAGGCTTGCTTTTTGTGATCTATCACAAGCAGTAGGTTGAGTAAAGGAATAATCAAAAACTCCATTGCTCTTGAGTTGAATATGACTCACGACAAGCCCATGCATTACAGAGTAGAACCTCTCCATTGGATTTTCACCAGGCCTTTCTTCTGTGACAACACTAGTAGCTTTGAACCCCCAACCTTTAGATTAGCAACGTAGCACAAAGAGTTTGTGCCACCCAGAGGCTTGAAGAGAATAGCAGATGTTAAAATGAAATGCAAGACAGAATTAGCTTAACAATATTATTAAACTCTTCATTCAATTAAAAACATCAAATCAATGGGATATTGTGGATATAATGGTATGACACTTTCTAGTCAAGTTTATAAAAGACACTGTGACTTCTGCCTCTCACTCTCTTGGATTACTCTCAAGGAAGCCAGCTGTTATGTTGTGAGAAGTCTATGTGTCAAGAAACTGAGGCTTCCTGCCAACAGCAACATAATGGGAACCATTTTGGAAGTGGACCTTCCAGCCCCAGTCAAGCCTTCAGATGACTGTAGGCCTGGAAAACATCTTGACTAAAACTTCATGAAAGACCCATAGCCAGAAACATTCACTAAATCTTATTAGATCCCTGATCCTCAAAAACTATGTGAAATAGTAAGGGTTTATTGTTTTAAGCCACTAAATTTGGGGATATAGTTAACATATAGAGTTAGCCTATAAGATCCACCTCCAACTCACCATCTGCTGGCCCACATTGCCCATGCTGTTGGCCTGCTTGTAAACAAGGTCTATGCAGGCACTTTAGAGTTGACATGAAACCTGTGTAACAGGTAGGAAGCTCACGCTCCAAACACAAGTGCATAAAAATTTCATTTTTGTTTTTCTGTAAATAAAATTTCATCTGCTATTTGTTCTATTAGGCTGGTAGGAATTGTAACTTCAGTCATCCCAGGGATACCTAAAGGATTTTGGTGCCAGGCTATTGAGAGTGGTAGTGGAGGGTAGCTTAGGGATGGTGGTAGGTTCTCTCTGTTGGTGGTTATTGGTTCACACAGGGTATCAGTGAGACCTTGGTTGCCTCATCTGTATGCTGCTCCAGATCCTCCAGGTCTATCCTACAGTCACTGGAGTTGGCCAGATACAATTTAGCCCATGGAGAAAGAAGCAGCTACCACAAGATCTCATAGTAACTGGGCACGCAGAGCCTAAGGTCCATAATGCAATATCAACAAAGAACATAAGCTTTTATCCTATTGCCAAGTGCCACATATAAATGATTAAATCCTAGCCATGATTTATGGTATGAAACAACACCCTTCTCTTATACTGAATGTCCCTAATTCTACTGTTCCTTTAGCTTAGATAGCCTCCTGTTTGCTAAGTATCTTTTGTTGGCCTTTCAAATTAATTTAGTTAATTTCATTTGAAGAAAAATATTTGATTGGTTAGAATGTGCCAGATAATATGTTAATACTAAGGAAACAAATAAATAAGTCAGACATGGTCCCTGACCTCAAAGGACTGACAGCCCAGCAAGAGATATGGTATTGAATACATTTACACAGTAGTCTTTTGTTTGTTTGTTTGTTTGTGATTTGGGTGAAGATTTACAGAGCAAATTCACTTTCCATACAGCAGTTCACATACACTTTGTCTCATGTCATTGATCACAGTTTACCACAATGCAACAGCTCCCCTCCCACTTCCTCCCCATAGTTACCTCTTCCCAGTGTCCATCCCTCCATACACTCCTGCCCCCTGAGTTGTCTCCCTGTGCATAAGCAGCCCTTCTTTCTCCCATGATTGTTCTCTCTAAGGAGTGTATCTACCTTAGGTAAATGTTCAACTCATATGCCTGTATTTTTTTGGCCAGAAACCACAGGTGGGGGTTCAATTCCAGACCTGAAGTGCAGCTAGGGGCCATAGTCTCAGTGGTTCCACCAGGCCCTATTGGACCAGCAAATCTGGTCCCCACCTTTTTTTTTTTTTCTCCAAATGATTTTGAATTTTGTTCCACATTGTTCTCCCTCTCTATCAAGGATCTCCTACAAGGATCTCCTTCCAAGTGGATGACAGTGGTAGCCGGGCACCATCTAGTTCTTCTGGTCTTATAGTTGTATAGGCTGCAGATCGGATGGTGTACCAGTCGCTAGGACTAATTGTTTCCATGAATTTTGGTTTTCTTCATTCTTCTTTGCTCTGGACGAGGAGAGACCCATTGTTACATCTAGTTGGCAGCTTGCTAGCTTTTAAGATCCCAGTCGCTACTCAGCAAAGTAGGAGGTGGAACAATGTTTTGTATAGTATGCTATGCCAATTGAGCTTGATTCCCCTGTGACTATGGTCTCAAGCCCACAGGTTCAACTACTTGGTCTCTCTGGGTAGCTGGCTATGACGAAGCAGTGACCACAACCTTGCCCCTTGTCAGCACTACTATACACCTGGTAATTCTGATCATTCACATAAACTTGTAGGACCATTGTCTGCCAACCCTATATATGTTCTTGGATACACTCCCCATTTCATAGACATACCTAATCGTTTAGCTTGTCCACCCGTCTATCCATCCATATACCCATGTTTGCCTTCATTGACAACGCAGTACTGTATGTGCAAAAGGGTTATTTGTTGTCTGTACCTCCGATGTACCTCTCTCTGTCTTTCTCATCCTCAATGCTGCCATATTGGTCACTCACATTTGGTACACTGCCCATCTCTTCACCCAATTCAATACTTATCTCTATCTACCTAAGAGTTTTCCCTCCCCTCCCCTCTCACCCCTGGTAACCAACAAAGAAAATTTCCTTCTATAGATAAACCTTTCCTTAACTTTTACAATAATGGACAACTTTTACAATATTTGTCCTTTTGTGATTGACTTATTTCACTCAGCATAATGTCCTCCAAGTTCATCCACGTTATGCAGTGTTTTGCAGATTCTACATTATTCTTTAGCACAGTAGTCATTTTTCTAAAAAAATATTTCCTGAGTTCCTACTAGGTGCTGGACAGTATTCAAGGTGTTAGAAATACAGTGACGAGCTACATAGATGTGCTCCTTGATGACAAGGAACTTTCAGTTTGTGGGTGAGATAGGAACTTATTATATAAACAAGTCCTTTGTCCACCCCTCCTCCATGTCTTCATTTCCTTTCTTATCCAGTTTAAATTCTATGGCCAATTTTCATAATCACTCCCTTAAACACACCCTCAACAACCTTTCCTTACTTGAATGAACTCTCTGGATTAAATCACACCATTTTCTACTTGGTAACATCTAGGTGAATGTGACTGGAGAAGACCATACAGCATGCTAAATTCAGGTTCATTTGTCTCTGTTGTGCCTGTAAAACTCCAGGCAATTTTACTGTAGACAAGTCCAGTTGTACTTCACTCTCTTAGACAACTGTTGCATGCCTTTTCCTTTCCTTAAACCTCCACTATCTCTCCTCCATCTTCACTCCCAGCTGATGTTCTTGTGTGATCTGTTGTATTTAGCTCATTCTTGGCTTTCTAAGATCTTTGTATTGCAAGGGGCAGGAAGTCTCAAAACTATATTTCCTAGGTTTCTTTGCCAGATGTTTTCTGGCTAGGTTCTACCAATAGGAGCACTGACTCAAGATTAGAAGACAAGTTGAGGAGAGAAGTCATTCTGATTCTGACTGCTGCAGACTGCAGTGGCATCAGCATTTCTAACACCCACAAGGAGGAGCTCAGCATTAGCAGGGGCTCCTTGCAACTCATAGCTCTCTTTCCTATTGGCTTGTTCAGCCCTCCCAATCTCTTTGTGATCAATTTATTCTCCAATCTGATCTCTTTGTGTAAGAGTTTCTTTCTGGAAAAATTGGAACCCTTGTGCATTGCTGGGGAGCTCTGGTAGTGTAGTATCTAAGGTATTAGACTGCTAACCAGAAGGATGGTAGTTCAAACCCACCAGTCACTCCTCAGAAGGAAGACTGGGAAATCTACTTCCAAAGAGATACTGACTTCGAAAGAGATACTGTCTTGGAAACCCAAGGAAGGGTGGCTATGAGTCAGAACCAACTTGATGGCAATGAGTTTGGTTTGGTTTGGTTTTGTGCATTGCTGATGGGAATGTAAAATGGTGCAACTATTGTAAAAAACATTTTGGTGGTTCCTTAAAAAATTAAACATAGAATTACCATAAGGCCCTGGAATTCCACTCCTAGATAAATATGCCCTCCTTAAAAAAAAAAAAAAAAAAAAGGAAAACATGGGCTCAAACAGATCCTTATAAACTAACATTCATTGCAGCACTATTCACAATAGCCAAATAGCCAAAGGGTCAAAATGAACAAACAAAATGTAGTCTATTCATACACTGGAATATATTTAGCCACAGAGAGAAATAAAGTTCTGATACATGCTATGACATGGATGAACCTTGAAAACATTATGCTGAGCAATAAAACAAGAAAAGGAAATAAATGGCAACCAAATTGGCAAAAGATGAAATGAAACTATCTATTTGCAGATGATATGATCCTAACCATAGAAAATCCCAAAATCAGTAAGAAAATTACCTGAACTTGTTGATAATTTCAACAAAGTCACAGGGTACAAGATCAACATGCAAAAATCAGTCAGATTCCTTTATACTAACAGAGAGAACTCTGAAAAGCAAATTAAGAAAGCAATGTCGTTTACAATAACCACCCAAAAGATGAATTACTTAGAAATAATTTTAACCAGAGACACAAACAACCTACTTACAAAGGAAACTATAAAACACTATTACAAGATACCAAAAGAGACCTACATAAAGGGAAGGATATACCACGCTCATGGATGGGAAGACTCAACATCATGAAAATGTCAATAGTTCCCAAAGCAATCTACAGATATAATGCAATCCAGATCCAAATTACATCATCTTTCTTTAAAGAAAGGGAAAAACTAATCATCAACTTTTTATGGGAAGGAAAGATATTTCAGATAAGTAAAGCACTACTAAAGAAAAACAAAGTAAGAGGCCTCACATTCCCCAGTCTCAAAACTTACTATATAGCCATGATAGTTAAAATAATTTGGTACTGGTACAATGACAGACACATAGACAAATGGAACAGAATTGAGAATCAAGAAATAAATCTATCCACAAATGGACAGCTGATTTTTGACAGAGGGCCAGTAATCATTAGATGGGAAAGAGGTAGTCTCTTTAATAAATGGTGGCAACAAAATTGTATATCCATTTGTAGAAAAATGAAACAGGACCCATATCTCACACAATACACCAAAACAAACTCAAGATGGATCAAATACCTGAACATAAAACCTAAAACCATAAAGATCATCAAAGTAAAAACAGGGGCAAACTTAGTGACCCTAATTCAGGGCAAAAATACACTATTGAATAGGATTGAAAATGCATCACACCAGAATACAAATTAGATGACTGGACTCTCCTAAAAATTAGACATTTATGTACATTCTGGATTGAATTGTGCCCCCCCAAATTTGTGTCAACTTGGATGGGCCATGAAAACAAAACAAAACATTATGCTGAATGAAATAAGTCAGACATAAAATGGCAAGTATTGTATGATTCCACTTATATGAAATATCTAGAATAAGCACATGCACAGAATAGGAGATTAGTGGTTACCAGAGACTGAGGGAAGGGAGAAATATGGAAAGAAAAAAAATGACAAAAAAACTGAAACTAACTGATATCATTTGTGCACTTTGTGCAAATAAATTGACCATCTTTCTAGCCAAAAAAAACGTGGTTCCTATTT